CATGCTCTGAGATTCTTTCTCCTGCTTGATTAATTCTGCTTTTTATGCTTCCAGTTTGTTTTTATTTCATTCACTATATTCTTTATTGCTGTTATCTCAGTTATCAACTCCCCCATTTTTCCTCTTGTCTCTTCTTATTTATATTTATTTTATTAATATCTTGATATCTGGGTTTGTGGTTCAAGACCATTCATTCTGGGGGCTCTTCATTGTTTGAGTTTCAAAGTCTGTATTCTCAGTGGCTGACCTCCCAGGGGTCTGTGTGAGCTCATATTCTTCATTTGGTTTTTCTTCATTTGTGTAGGTTTTCCTCCCCCCCCCTTTAAAAAAATCTCTTCTTTAATTCTGTTGTTCAGTGGTAGGGAGGATAGCATTTATTTCTGTTGCTCAATCTCCTATTGTTCTTTATGGAGATCCTCTGGTTTTGTTAATTCTGAAGCCAGACTAGGGTTGGGGGCCTGTGCCTTTTGCAGTTTTGAGATTTAATTAAGGGGAAACTGTGATTCAGAAGCTATCTGGAGATCCCAGTATCCACTGACAGGTATGTGGGCCCCCTGGAACCCACTTCCCAACTGCCTTATAATCTTTCCATGCAGTTGGGGTACCTGTTTGCCCCCTAAAAGTAAAATGAGATAAAAAAAAGGGAAAATAATGGAAAAAGGAACAAGGAAGAGGAAAGGAAGGTGGAGGAGAGAAAGAAAAGAGGATAAACAAACAGGCATACCAACTAATGAATAAACAGAGAAACAAACAAAGACAGAAAAAACAAGAATATACTGACAATCATTCAAACAAAAAACCCCGGTTGGTGTATTCTCCCTCAAAAATACCTACGCACAAACAGAAAATCTGGAAGAAAAAAAAAACAATTAAAATGACAGAAACAAAGCAAGTACAACAATGTAGACAAAAACTGAAAGAAGAAAAAAATGCAAAAAACTAAAACAAAAAACAAAGAAGAAGAAGAAAAACCTTGCTCTGTGGCCATTTCTGTAATTCCAGGTTCCTTTCAGCTCTGGTCTCCAGCCCCTCCCTTCTGCTCTCAGCACAGGCTGATAAGGTTGCTCTCAGTGTGGACTAGATGCCCCATGTACTATTGTGGGAGGAGGATGGGTAAGATCCAGACTCACCCTACTTGCTGCTGCTGCTGCTGCCAAGTCTGCCACTGAGATATGACATGTCTGTGCCTATTCCAGTGTGGAGGAGGGAGTCTGTCTCTCTGAGTCTAATGAGAGAATAACTTCTGGGTCTGAAGATGGAGGATAGGTGGAGCTGGGCAGGTCAATGCAAGTCTCTCCCCAGTCCTGGGACTGAGAATATGACACCTGTGGGTGTCTCGTCACCAGTGTTGGAGCTTTAGTCTAGATTTCCACCACCTGCCTTCTCCATGGTTTCTCCTGCTTGTGCCTGGTCTGCTGCTGCAGGTGATGATGTGGGTCAGGTACCAGGTAGTGAGCTCAGTTGTTCTCTGCTGCCTCTTCTCAAGAGAGCCTGGAGAACTGCAGATGGTCCTGCACGTCTGGATCTCCAATCTCAGGGTAGTGGTGGATTGCAGTCACCTCTGGAAGAGATCCCCAAGTACATGAACCCGAGTCTCCCCTCAGATGGACTTTCACTCACCCACTGGCACACACCCACTGATGCAGAGAGTCTTTATGGACACTTGCTTTGGTGGAGACTCTCACAGTTCAACCTGTTCCATCGCCACCTTGTCCAGAAGCCCCCACAAACATTTTTAGTTTGGATGAAGCTTAATTGATTTTTCTCTTTTTATTTATTTATTTTTTTTGTATTTTGAGTGTCATATCTGAGAATTTGTTGCTAAATTCAAGGTTATGAAGATTTGCCTCTATTTTTTTTAAGGGTTTAATAGTTTTAACATTTACATTTAGGTCTTTGATTCATTTTTAGTAATTTGAAAAAAATTAATTGTGAGAAGTAGGGGCCCAACTTCATCTTTTGCATGTGACTGTCCAATTATTCCAGCATCATTTGTTGAAAAGACTATTCTTTCCCAGTTGAATGGTTTTGACACTCTTGCAAGAATCAGTTAATTGTAAATCCCAGAGTTGACTTCTGAACTTTCAGTGCTTTTCCATTGATCTAAAGATGTATCCTCTTGCCAGTACCACAGTCTTGATTCCTGTTGTAAATTTTGAAATTGGGATGTAGAGGCCGGGCTCGGTGGCTCAGCCTGTAATCCCAGCACATTGGGAGGCTGAGGTGAGTGGATTGCCTGAGCCCGCAGGTTCAAGACCTGCCTGGGCAACTTGACGCGACCTCACCTCTACAAGAAATAAAAAATTAGCCAGGTGTGGTAGTGCGCACCTGTAGTTCCAGCTACTTGGAAGGCTGAGGTGGAAGGATCGCCAGAGCCCAGCAGGCGAGGTTGTGGTGGCTGGGTGCGGCCACTGCACTCCGGTCTGAGTGACAGAGTGAGACTCCAACTCAAAAAAACAAACAAAAAACAAAACAAAACAAAAAAGAAATCGGGACGTGAGAGTCCTCTAACATTGTTCTTCCTTTTCAAATTATTTTTGCTATTTGATGTTCTTGAAATTCCACATGAAATGTTGGAATCAGCTTATCAGTTTCTACAAAGAAGTCAGCGGGGATTCTGATGGGGTAGTGTTGAACTTGTAGGTCGAATTGGAGAGTACTATCTCAATAATATTAAGTCTCCTAACTCATGAACAAGGGATGGTTTCCATATATTTAGATCTTCCTTAATTTATTTCAGTAACATTTTATTTATAGAGTATAATTTTATACTTCTTTTATTACATTTGATTCTAAATATTTTATTATTTTTATGCTATTAGAAATGGAACTATTCTTACTTTTATTTTTGGATTATTCATTGCAGATTATAGAAATACATTTTATTTTTTGTGTCCAATCACACATATTTCCACCTTATTAAACTTTATTAGTTCTAATTTTTAGCATATTTTAAATAATTTTTTATATATACAATGTCATCTGTGCATAAAGACAGTTGTACTTTTTCCTTTTCAATCTGGATGGCTTTTATTTTCTTTTCTTGCCTAATTGCCCTGGCTAGACAATCCAGGACAATGTTGAGTAGAAATAGTGAGAGTTGGCACCCATGTCTTGTTCCTGATCTTAGTAAAGAGTATCCAGTCTTTCATCATTAAGTGTTATGTTTGTTGTGGGATTTTTATAGATGCCCTTTATCAAGTTGAGGAAGTTTTCTCTGATTACCAACTGAGTTAGTGATTTTGTTAAATTTTGGCAAGTGGTGCATTACATTGCTGATTTTTGAATGGTAAACCAACTTTACTATCCTAGAATAAATCTCATTTGATCATTATGTATAATTCCTTTTTTTGTGTGTTTCTGAATTTGATTTACTGTATTTTGATGAAGATTCTTGTGATCATATTTTTAAAAGATATTGGTCTATGATTTTTTTTTTTCTTTTTCTCGTGATATCATTTTTTTTCCCACTTACTGTAGATAGACCATTTTTGGAGACTTTAAATCATTGTTGTTATTGTTGCTTTCAATCTTCAATGATTTCACTGGGGAATGGGTCTGCAGATCTACTCACACTGTCCTGTTGGAAGTCTGTCCAAGCTACTTCAAAAGCATCTATTTGCATCTACCTCATGCTGGTTTTGTACCCATTTATTTATTTTTTATTTATTTTATTTTATTTTCTGAGTCAGAGTCTCACTCTGTGGCACAGGCTGAAGAATTGTGGCATAGTCATGTCTCACCGCAGACTCACTTCCTCTGCTCAGGCAATCCTTCTGCCTCAGCCTCTCGAGTAGCTGGGACTACAGGAGCATACTACCATGCTTGGCTAATTTTTTTTTTTTGGTAGAGATAATGTCTCATTATGTTACCCAGGCTGATCTTGAATTCCCAGGCTCAAATAATCCTCTCACCTCGGCCTCCCAAAGTGCTGGGATTACAGACGTGAACCACCATGCCCAGCCTGGTACACATTTTATGTGCCCATAAAATGAGGAGTCTAGGTCCATTGTTTTCAAGGCTGTTTTTAATATATAGTACCTTAGTGACCCCTTCTTTCTTCTCAGTATTGTAAGCAGTTCTAGTATTAATTTTATTGTTCACAAAGGCATATTTGAATGATCAAATGACATACCTAAGGGTCAATACCAGTCTTTTGATAAGACTTTATCTGGGAAATCTCTGCAAAACAATTGTCATAGAGAAAGCAAGAAATCGGTTGCCTCTAGTATACACATCCTCTCCCCGTACTGTGGAGACACTGAACCCAATGAGTATTTTCCTTGTTACTGGTTTTTAAGTAGTGCTTGGAGGGGCCCAGAGCAATGTTGAAAAGATTCACCATCTTGATGATTCACTTCCACAACTCAGCTATCACTAGAGTCTTTCCTGCATATGGGAGATTTAGAGAAGTGTGCTTGATTTGATGACAGTGAGGGTCCAGGGACACTTGTCTCAAGGGCTCCGAGTGAGAGGTCTGCATGCCCTGCCCTGTCTTTGAGCCTGCACTGCCCTGCCTGGGTGTGTGCTCTCTGACCTGGACAGCCCCCACCCACACACACCCAGATGCCTCGAATATTTCCTGAATTGAGTAACTTTCTGATTGCTCAGATGTGAGGCTGAAGAGGGAGATAGTTGGGGAACTCTGCGCTTTCCATCCACCCGGCCCCACCCACATTCTCAGCTGCTTTTTCTCTCTGCTCTCCTGGCTGCCAACATGGCATCCTTACCTTGACATTCAGCTGGAAAGCACTGTGCACATTTAGGCCCAGAAACTTTTGCCCACTGTCTGGCATATTGATGCCTTTTCCCAGCTATGGGAGGGAGGATGGCCCTTAAAGCAATTTCTCTCTGCTAAGGCAATTATGCATTTTGCTTATTATTGCATTATTTATTTAAAGGCTACATTGCACAAGATCCAACCGGAGTCTGTAGAGATTGTTTGTGAAATCTCTGAAACTGAACTCAAAAGAGGCTTAATCAGATCTCCCAAAGGGACCATGACTCTACAGAACCTCAAACCTGCTGCAGGGTGGTATTTGCATGTGTGCCTGCAGCAGAATGTTTCCTCTCTTATGAACACACTTTGCACAGCTTCCGTCTTTGCACAGATGGTGGCTGAGGAGGGGAGCTGGCTTTGTGGGCTCCCCATTTTAATGCTGGTGTTTTCATCCTCTAGATCTCACCCACAAAGTACTGTGGGCTTCTCAATCGGCGGTGCCCATCAAGTCAGAAAGCAGACTGCCATGGCTTCTTCCATGGGGTGTTGTCTTAATTACAATCCTCGACTCAGGGAAAAAAATCAGGCAGAGAGTGACTGCTCTGGCTCTCACTGCCTCTTGAGGTGACTGGTGTGAGAACAGCTTGGTGACTGAGGGTGTTGGACAGGAAAGGATTTGATTTAACTAGCTAGTAACAGTTCCCTTTCCTAATGATATTTCTTCTCTGGTTCTTTTGTTACGTAGAATGAGTAGACATACACATCACAGGAACGTCTGTCATCCTCAGTACAGACTCTTGATTTATTTGGTTTAAGAAAACGTGCTAGCCGGGCTCAGTGGCCCAGCCTGTAATCCCGCGCCTTTGGGAGGCTGAGGTGAGTGGATTGCCTGAGCCCGTGGGTCTCTCCTGGGCAGGCGAGACCTCATCTCTACAATACATCAAAAAATTAGCCGGGCGTGGTGGTGCGTGCCTGTAATTCCGGCTACTCAGAAGGCTGAGGCGGAAGGATCGCCGGAGCCCAGCAGGTCGAGGCTGTGGCCACTGCATTCCAGTCTGGGCGACAGAGTGAGATTCCAACTCAACAAAAAAAATAAAAAAGAAAAAGAAAATGTGCCGCTTTGTAACATTTTCACAGTGGGGCCTGTGGTCTCTTACTGTGACTCAGTGGGGGCTATGCGTGGATTCCTGAAGAATGATGGCACCGTGTGAGCTCCCTGGGTTTGTGTTCATACGACTTAGGAGACCTTCTACTAAATTGAACTAGCCTGCTTATTGAAATCACTTTTGCAGTATCTTATTGACTCTTGCTTTTATGTAGGAGGAATAATACACACTTATTAGCTTTTACAATGCTTCTGTTAATCAGAAAATCACATACATAATATAGTTTGGCAATAAATAAATTTTAGGAATTCCTCCGTGCTCTAAGTAAAAATTGTCTGCTGTTACTCAGAATGGAAATCATGGTGACAGAATTTCAATTTCATGGATAAACCTTATATTTATCTCCCAACTTTCTCTTTAAAAGTAGAAAAATAAAAAATAAAGAAATACTTGTCAAGATTGAAAATTATAGAAAACCACTCTTGTAATATTTTCAGCTTTAAAATGTCCCTATTGTTTATCTAAATTATAGGGCATTTATGAAATTAAGAAAAATGTTCAGAAACTATAAAAAATGCGGGAGGCCACATAAGGGTCTGAGTCTTATAGTGTCATCTCACCACCCTGGAAACAACATGCTGTGTCTTGCTTTTTGGTGGGTGTACGTGGTATAATGCTGAAGATGAGACCACATGTCTTTGTTTTATTTTTGTCCTGCTGATTCTATTGCTCTATGCATTATTTTAAAAAAATTTTTAATTTTAAAGATGTGGGCTACAATTCAGGGGACCTGCATATTCATTATGAGGTATGCTTCCTCCTCCTCCTCCCCTTCCCCCTCCCCCAGTAAATTTCCACTATGAGCTTCCTGGAAAGATCTCGATCCCTTTTGGTTACTCTAAATAAAAAAGGAAAAACAATACCTATAGTACGTTTTGCTCTTCAGCTAAGAAAGAAATGTTCCCAGTACACCAAAGCCTGCAGGAATGTTAGGGTCAGGGGCAGAAGAGTCTATGAGTCTCGTCCTCTAGGGACTCTGTTGTGATAGCTGATGGCGTAGAATGATGCCTCACACTCCGGATGTGCAAGGAGGGGACCTTCACACTCAGAATAGGGCCTCGCACTGCTGAGCACTCAATAAATGCAGAATGTATAGAGGAAGGCAAAGCTGGTGTGGGTAGCATGAAGGATGCTCTTAGATGAGGAGTCAGAGAGGAAGACATCAGTCACATTGTGGAGAGCCCTGCAGATAGGGTGGAACAGTTTGATCTTGAGTCAAAGTCTTTCAGTCTTGAAGCTGACACACCACCTGAGTTCTGAGACAATTCGTTCTCTTGGAGGCAACATTGACCCAAGCTCTTTATTCTAGATCTGTGGCTGGTGGAAGCATTTAAGAAAGTGATGCCTCTAGTCACAGAGAGGAATCTTTACAGAGAGAAGTGCATCATTATGACCAAAGCTTCTTTTTATTGTAAAGCTGTCATCTTCCCATACGATCCTGTCTTAGAAGCTTATTGAGGCTCTTTTCAAAGAGGATTTCCTGCATAGGAAGAATGTGGGTGCCAGCTGCTAAATACTGTTTTTTGTGGTTGTTTTGTTTTTTGTCAAAGGCTCTTTTTAATACCTTGAATCTATAATCCTCACAGCCATTCTGATTAACATATGCAATGATTAGAAAGTTTTCTAAATCAAACTTAACTGAGGTTGAAATGATAAAGTTACTTGGCATGAAGAGATGTGGTTGTGGAATGAGCCTCAGTTGATCCCAGCTCTGCCAGGTAGTAAGTTAAGCAACAAAAGAAGAATTCCCTGGCCTCTTCAGGCCTTAAAATTTACATTTTATAGAGAGTAAATGGCCTTTGTTCTAATCAGTTTACAGGTTGTTGTCACATCAAAAATAGACTGGATACAAAAAATATGGTACATATACACAATGGAGTATTGTTCAGCCATAAAGGAGAACAAAATTGTGAGCTTCATGGCAACTTGGATGGATTTAGAGTCTATCATACTCAGTGATTTATTACAGAAACAAATCAAGTACCACATGTTCTCACTCATAAGCGGACACTGAACATTAATCATAATACTATAAGAAAGGGATTGGCAGTAATGGGATACCACCAGGGGAAGGGAGGGCACATAACATCAACAAGGGTACCTGATCTCAAGCCAGGTTAAGTGGGGACCAAAGAGAAGCTCAAACTTTACTTGCATGATGACTAACCACTTATCTACCTAATCCTGAATTGAACCCCGCATCTTTAAAATAAAATTTAAGATTAACAACAACAACAACAACAATATAAAAAGAATGCAGGAGCATTAATGATGAGATGAGATCTGACTGCAAGCTGGAGTTTTGAGTTTAACTGATCAGCATTAGAATTGTGCCTCCCTCTACTCCTTTGAACTATGTGCCCTGAACAAGTTCCCAAACCTCTGTGAGATTCCACTTTGCTTCTGTAAAATACACACAGATAGCAACATCAAAATCCTGAGGGGATTGCATGGGATAATGGGCTCGGTTTTTCACTCACAGAGGATATAGGACAGAGCTCATGTCTTCAGTTCTCTTACTTAGTTTTCCTATCTCTCCAGTGAGTCACCATGAGACCTGAGATCACGATGAGGGAGTTCCAAACACAGAGATGCCAGCCACACATCAAGTGATAACATCAACGTTTGCTTGTCACCCATCACTTAGCTCAGCGCGGCACTCTCCTCATCATATATCCCAAAGACAAACAATTCCAAGTCAGTTACTGAGGATGGATCACTGAAATTTGGCATATTGCCAAGGGGCCGACCCATGAGGAGTGGAGTGTGGTATAGTGAGACAGGAAGGTAGCAGTTGGAGACGAATGCGACCTGAGGTAGTGAGACTCCTTTATCCTATGGTGGGTCTGTAATCATGGTCTTTATATGTGACCACAGGAAACCTGGTCCCCTCTGCTCTCTCTGCACTCATTCATGATAGAGAGCAAAGGTCATTTTAAAAGATATTTCATAGTCAGAGATGCGTGGAGAAGGGCACCCATGTGTACGTGTGTGTCTGTGTGTGTGTGTGTGTGTGTGTGTGTGTGTGTGTGTGTGTGTGTTTATAGAGTCCATATGGGACAGATGATGGAAATAAGTAGGTATGTATCTATAAACTCCAAATGCAAATATCACACATACTATAAGTACTATTTTATAGTATTAAAAATGATTTTAAAATTAGAAATGAAATACAGTTGTAGAGTATAGAACATTAGTTATTGTGTTCCTTTTATTATTTTAGAAATTATGTGTTTTTTTTTTCTTTGTGGTTATAAAAATAGTACATGCTCATAATTTTAGAATTCAGAAGATTTGTAAAGGAAAAAACCAACAGTTGTGCTATCATTCCTCTTGTTCTGGTAACATTCCAGAATTTTATTTGAGTCTGACTTCGTAAATATATGTAAATATATTTCAGTAGTTGATAAACTGAGTCCTTGATTTTCTATTTTGCATTTGACACTTAATATTATTAACAGGTATTTTCTAATCATTAAATATTCTTTATAGAAATTTTTAATATTTGAGGCAGAAATTAATGTATTTGCCATGAATCTTTGACTTTTAATTTTTGAGGGTGGATTTTTATAAATGGAGCCTTAAGCCCAGGAATGCAATGCTTCATAGGCTCTTGATGTAATTTGACAAGTGATTTTTCAGAAATGTTACTGTAGGTGCATTACCAGCTCTCTTGCTCTGCTCTTGAAGTGTCTGGCTTTAAAAATATATGTGTGTGTATGTTTATTATTCCACTAGTACATTGCTCATACTTCTATTTTAGCATTTATTACATATATTACATTAAATGTTTGTGATACTGAAATGTTGTATCACAAAAACTTGTAGAATATTTCTTATAAGCACCTTCTTCTGCAGATATTTCTGTTTATTTATCTTTATGTAATCACCAATTATGCAGATGATGTGGACATTATGTATTATCCAGAAATGTTAGATCAGTGAGTGAATATATAAAGAAAGGACTCCAGCTATTTTAGAATCTTTTATTCTGGGTACGTATGGACATCAAATAAATCCTTTAGGGGATTTAGGTCATTGACATAAATGTGTAGGTCATAGACAGAAATGAGAAAGTAAAGGTAATACAAATTATATACCTGCATCAGAGTGAATTTAATAATCTACAAAGATTATTTTAATTGTAAAAGTCACCTGTTTCTATAATTATATGTCTAGCAGTCTTGTTAACTCTTCTAGAGAGATCCTGAGTTATTTGCCAACCTATTTCAGGAATATTTTCTCCCTTAAGTCTGTTTTTCTTTTTTCAAGACTAGCATAATTTTATTTTTGTGTAATTCAAATTTTCCATAGTAATGTTGAAGATGTGTTAGTTCAAATGAGACAATTTTAAAAGAAATTTAAATAATCATTATGCATATATATACTTACAGAGAATTTACTAGATAATTATTGAAATTTAGCACAAAATTTCTTTGCAAAATATGCCTGTAAGGCTACAACTTCTACTAATGGTAAAAGTGAATTCTGGTGTGCTTAAGAATGTCCGGTCATCTCTCTGCTTACTGTCCACTCACACTATTATGTTTTATGTGGTGCTTCTGATTCATGTTTGAGTTGTTTCATATATTTTCATCTAAGTTCTCCAAGTTAATGGTGAGCTTCTTCACCCCAAATAGAGCATTCTTCCACTCAGTCATGTCCTGTACAGAGCCTGAATTTCACTATTTATTTACCGACTTACTTCTGCAGAGCCAGACATTGTTCCCGGTGATGTACATGGAATAATTTATTCATCCCTTCAAAAACGTTGTTAGGTGGCTACCACTGCTAGCTTCATTTTCTAGATGAGGTAACTAAGGTTAGAAAATTTACCTGACTTGCCAGGGTCACATGACTAACACATGGAAGAGCTGGATTCAAACCCCAACTGTCTGGATCCAGCAACAATAGTGCAAATTCTGCCTTATGTCATGTCATCAGAATCATCGATAACCATGAGACCAGAAACACATCTCCATTCACAAGCATCCTCCTGCATCCCCTTGTCCTGGGACACCATGTTATGTGCAGACACATTTGAGAGCTGTTCCAGAAGAGAGCTTCAGTGACACAGTGCTTCATCTTGGGAAGCTCATATGAGACACTGAAGTATACACCCACCTTGGAAGATTTGGTGGTGACAGAGTGAGATGGTTGTGTTAGTCAGCCACACAGCCTCTGACGCATACTATTGAGGAGAAGAGGAATGGCTGCTGTATGCACACCTGCTGTGCTGACCCCAGTGTGCTGGACTTTAAATATTCTTAGAGATTGCAGAATAGAAATGTTAGGGAGTTGGGCTGAACCCAGTGGCTCATGCCTTTGGGAGGCCTAGGCAAGAGGATCACTTGAAGCTAGGAGTTCAAGACCAGCCTGGGCAACATAGTAAGACCTCCTCTCTATTAAAAAATAATATATATATGAGGGTGTCAAAAACTGCATACACATTTTAAGTATGACATTTGCTCAAAAGATGGCATTAATCAAATGAATACTAGTGTCACCATGCAATAGACCGGACAAAGAAAATGGCAGAAACATGGTTGTACAAATGTCACTACACATTGCTACTGTAATTCAATTCAAATTCAAACTATGAAAATGCAAATTGTACCGTGTGTGTGTGTGCGTGTGTGTCTGTCTGTCTCTAAAAAAGAAGGAAGAGGAGGAGGAGGGAAAGGGAGGGGAGAGAAAGAAAATGAAAGAAAGAGAAAAGGAAAGAGAGAGAAGAGGAGAGGAGAGGAGAGGAGAGGAGAGGAGAGGAGAGGAGAGGAGAGGAGAGGAGAGGAAGGAAGGAATGTCAGGGAGGTGTGTGTCTGTTGCTTTTATGTATATTTTGCCAATGTTCAATGACCTCACAAACATGTGTAAATAAGAAACTATCAACCTAAAATGACTGGATACTCTTGGGCCATGTATAGATCTCAGGGGGAAATGCCATCTGACAACCTGAAATCAAGGCAGGAGGCAGGAAAACAGAACTCTAGAATGAGGAGCTCCAGGAATGCTCACCAGAGGGATCCACATCACTGAAATAAGTTTACTGTTTTCGCCACATAGACTAGAAAAATGAATTGACCTCAAATGTATTAGCAGCCAGCCTCACTTAAGGGAAATTTACTTCAGTGCAACACATTGTTCCTTAACAATGCTTCCAGAATAAACTATGATCGTGAGACTTTGGGCATGCTGTTTGTTCATTTATCAAACTAATATTTATCAATAAGTATTAATAAACTAATATTTATTAGATACTGTGCTAGATACTTGAAATATATATATCAGTGAACAAAACAGACAAAATTTTCAGTCATCATGGTATATTTGTTTTTTATTGGGCAAATCTTTACTGAGATGCTATTGTGTGCCTGACATCATGCTAGGACCTGGGATAAGGCAGTTGCATAACACTCATAGTTTTGGAAGCCCATACATATTTGGAGATTACTATTTGGAATTATCTTAGGATATGAGTATAACTTCATGCATTGTTACTTAAACACACTACCTTCTAGGAGCAGGGCCTCTTGGGCTGTGACTTCCCTTGCAGTCATGGGACCTGTCCACCAAGGCTAGGTTGAAGTACAACTGGGAAAATTATTTTACCTGTAACAAGCAAGCAAACAAGTGCCTAGTTAAATTACTTATGCATTCCCTTTCTTCTTCTTCCAGTCACATTTTAATCACTACAGACCAAAGCGACAAGGCCAGCAATAATGCTTCTGAAGGTTACTTTCCAGCCCAGCTTTGACTTCCTCTAAGTCAGCACTTTGCTCTCACAGTTTGCACTTTCACCTCCTCCCTTTTATTTGACTAGATGTTGATTCCAGGACTCGCTGATTTTTTAAAAGATAAATTAGTGTTTATGTCAACATAAATGGAATGATAACAGACTTGCCTTATAATTAATTTCTACATATTATATTTTTGAGAATCCAAATTTTCCCAACAATTTGAAATAGTTATTTCCCTTTTCTCCCTCTGTGTGAACAATGGGCTTAGAATTTACTCATCTTGGGTCAATATCATAGTAACCATATTTTAATTGTATTTAACTCTCAGGTTTGGTGATGGTTATACAGTCAGAGTTTGGCTCTGTAAAGAAACAAGTCAACACAGCAGTGTTTCTGACTACTTGAAGCTCTATTTTCCAAGAATCCAGTTTAAGGTAGTGCTGATATTCTATATTACTTCTTCATTCCAAACTAAAAAAAATAAAATAAACACATTATTTCCTGTTTTTATTTTATGCTGTTATAAAATTCCTGTTGTCCTGGGCTTGTTGCAAAGTATAGGCTGTGCTTCCTTTCCAAAAATGGCATGCCTAGCTGCAATATTACTTGACCATTTTACAGGATGATAAGCCTGCTTGGCTACTTGTTGGATTGCCTAGAACAGACTGTGGTTATACATCACCTCTCTTATCAATGGACATATCTCCACTGCATAGTTCATCTTCTTTATGATGGCAGATTGCAAAAGCTAATTACATCCCTATATTTGCTGCTGTGGGGTTTATAGGCTTGGTGGTTTCAGTGATATTTCACAAGAAGATCCCTGTGCTTGAGATCCTAATTCTCCACAAACTTGTGGTCAAGTGTGGTCCCTGAACTAGCAGCATCTTCATCACCTAGGACCTGTTAGACATGCAGATACTCAGGCCCCAACCTACTGAATCTGAATATGCATTTTTAACAGTGACCAGGTGGTTCCTATGCACATTAAAGTTTGAGAAACACTGTGTAAAAATTTTTTGAATGACTGTTTTATGCTACTTTATTATAACTTCCCATAGGTTGTAGTCCATACAGTAGCAATTTTCTATTTATTTCAACAACAACCATTTACTGAAATCCTACCATGGAAGAAGCATGCTATGTAAAACACTTTCATTCATGTTTGAGCACCACTCTAAATGACCCCATGAAAGAGGTATCATTATCTCCAATGACACATGTGAAAATGAGTATAAGAAACATAAATATCTTACCAAGAGTTGCTCAACTAATCGTAAGGACATCTGAGAGCTAAGTCCAGGCCCTAGTGTGAAGTTCAATGTACCTTCGTCTGTCTCTGTTAGGTTATACTAATTTCCTGTATCTCAACTATTTATATGCACCTTCTGACCCTTTAAAGAGGTCTTTCTTATGCTCATGGTGAGGTGGGAGCAGATTGGGGGCAGGGTAGCAACACAACCCAGGTGAATGCCATTATTGCATATACTTCATGGTAGATTGTCCTCAATAAGCATTCACTGAACACTCACAAAGTTAGCCTATACACCTAGCTGGCATTTGTGTGTGTGACTACAGAAAACATAACTGAAATCATTTGGCAGTTAAATGAACTGTGATCTGTTTTCTTTAATCATTGCTAATTATATAATGCTTTTAATTTTTTTTTTTTTACTTTTAGGGACAGCACCTTAATTTATTGGAATATCATGTGCCAAAAAGATGGGGATATTTAGCTGACTTGTTCAAAGTTCTAGAAAACAATAAGGACTTCCTGAAAATCAAGCATTATTCCATTAACCAAACCACTTTGGAACAGGTATAGTACCTTAGATAATTCAGCAGGTTGCACTCTGGGTTGCTCATCAGGCCTACTAATCTAGCCCATTTTAAGATTAGCCAGATTACTTCTTCAGTGCACCATTTTGTTTAATTGTTCTTATTAAATTTTACAAAATTCCAGTAAGGATGGCGTCGGAAAGGATGTTGTTATGAAGTCTGTTTATTATATGCCCTCCACTGAAGGTACATGGTCAATAGGACTTTAATTCATTCATAATTATGTTGGGTATTCAGTAAATTAAATCATGTCCCATTAACCTGCCCTTCTCAACTGTACTCAGCCACCAGAAAACTTAGATCCACTGTAATCAAATGATAGCTTATTCTGGGGAAACGAAAACGGGCTTGATTTAGTAAGAGTACCAGAAGTGTAAAAATACATCACAACTACTTTCTAAAACCATGTTTGAGGTATTGAGAACTTCCAGGTAATTTATTAATTGTCTTGAAGCACTTATAAGTCCTGGAGTTGTGTCATAGTAAATTTCCATCTTTATGGCAATTTAGGAGAAAGTGGTATGAATTAATGATTTATGACTTGTAGTACAAGTTGGTCAGTGTTCTGAGACAATGTCTGTTCTTTGAGTAGTTGAGACCAAGGTTGTAGTCTTATAAGTTAACAACCATTTTTATGATTTCTTTCAGGTATTTATTAATTTTGCTTCTGAGCAGCGGCAAACTCCGCAATCTGCTCTTGATCCATCCACTGACTGTCATCACCCACATCGTCTGCCTATATAAGCACTAAAGAAGTTTTTCTCTAAGGAATGAAATCCTGTCTTTAGTTTAATAGTCAAGGATCAGACCAACACACACAAAGCCAGGGAGCTGGAGGACATGCTCTAGGCGAATTACATTCTCTCTTTCATTTTCTGTGTTGAAATTTTTAGTTCATGAATAACCAGCAAACTAAAAGGTCATTCTTTTCTGTAGACATTGGGGTGTTCCTTCTCCATATTTATTCTCTTTTCCAGGTCAGGTGGACACCAACTTCTTTGTGACAGAGACATGAATAGGTTGAGTCTAAACTGAAACACCGTGGAGCTAGAAAGGCTGTCACAGATTGTCCACTCCAAACATGTCACTTCACTTTTAAGAAAACTGAGTTCCCTCCTGTCCAAGTTTTAAAATGTTCCTAACTTATTTCTGTTGAAAATAGTAATGAGGCCTATTTCATCTTGTTATCATCTTTTTTCTAGATATGCTTACATGTTTTTGACAAATTTAAGGCAAACTTTTCCTAATACTAATGATATAATATGGAATGGCATGAGAAAATTGCCATTTTTAAAAAATAAAGTATGCTTTTTATTTTAAAAATGGAATTAAAAAGCTTTTTTAGTCAGCCCTTTAGTAAAATTAAATAAATTGAACTAGTCACTCTGTATCAATTATAATGGTTTCACCAGATCTCACAGATTATAATTTTATGAGGGTTTAGAAAGAAATAAACTGTGGATGTGTTTTCGTTTTCTTAATTTGGATGAATAATTACTGTTTCTTGTTGTTCTAAGCCAGTGATTTTCAAAGTGTGATGGTTTTCATATCAGCTGCATTGGCACCTCCTGGGAGCTTGTCAGAAATGCAGCTTCTCAGGCTTCACTCCAGACCTAGCAAATCTTAAGCTCTGGGACTTAGACAAGCATGTTTCAGTTTGAGAATCAATGAGTTAAGGCAATGTCTAGTTACAAGCAAAATAAGCACAATATATAGTAACTCAATATTCATTTTCCATTTTAAAAAACATTTTCTAAAAATTGTCCAGTGATGGTGGCTCATGCCTGTAATCCCACCACTATGGGAGGCTGAGGTGAGAGAATTGCTTGAGACCAGGAGTTCGAGACCAGCATGGACAACATAGCGAGACCCTGTCTCTACGAAAAACATTAGCAAGTATAGTGGTATGACACCTGTAGTCCCAAGCGACACAATAAGACTTCAACTCAAAAACCATTTTTCTAAAAATTATGTAATTCTTAGAATTGTTGTCCCAAAGTATTTTCAGACATAAAATGCTGATAGGTGGTTTTTAAATGCCATATACACCTATTGTTTTGCGTCTTATAGTTAGTAAAATGTATAAATAAATCAATCTGTCTACTTCTAAAAATAATTTCTGGTCAGACATTTCTGGGTCCAGACATTTTTCAAAATTATTTTAACAATATTTTTCTAAACCCTCATTGGATGACTAAATTAATTTGATTTTAAAATTTGATCTTATTCAACTCTAACTTTGAGTGCTAGGAGCTTGAGAACAAAGAAAAACACTTACTTTGTTATTCTGATACTAAAGCAAGATTTTACTAAGTCTTTCTTTCCTAAATATCATTCTATATCAAAGATGTTTTAAATGTTAAGGATTAGGCCAATCATGGAGAACTTTGATGAGTATGACCTTGATTCTCACGTAGCAAATGAATTATGCTTTCTTAGGTATGTTACAGTTTATAGTTGTATGTTTTCTTTCAAATCTAACATATTCTCATTGTCAAAATGAAAGACGTAATCTTTTTATTGTTGAATCAATAAATACCTATTTGCAAAACATGAACATGTTTAAACTGCAGTGAATAAATGAGTTGTGCTTTAATTTAACCTGATTCTTAGAATGTAATTGTGTTTTTTTCCAGTATATTTTCTTGCATCTTTATTTTTGTCTTTAGGGATCCAATTTAATTTAGGTAAGGAGGAAATGAAGCTACTCCAGATCTTTTAAAGTTTGAAAGGTTAAAATTTAATTGAGTTTTGCTCCACTGTGTTCTGCTCTTAGGGATTCTTTTCTGGTTTTTGAACTGCTGTATTCTTGAAGTTTATGCTTCAAGGTATGCCTTTGAACAATAAACAGGAGAAAAAGAAACTCAACATGCTAAAACACTACATCCCGGAAGACTGAACACAAAAGGTCAAATCTTATGTTAATGTTGAAAATGCCATTGCATTTATAAGTCATGCAGATATTTTACGCCTTTGGAGTTAAACATTTATCTGAAGACCTTTGGGCTTAAGGTCACACAACTGAGACTTTTAAACAAACTTCTTTCTTTTGAAATAATTCCAGGTAGAGTACTTTATAAGACAGGGATAACAGTGATTATTCCAGTTCCAGTAATCTAGCATTTATGATATAGTTTATCTTTACTCAGATATTTAAACAGATGATGTATTAAAGCCCTTATGCAAAATCAAGATTGTACAAAGCAAATAGGAAGTATATTTTTAGAATAGTATAATAGTAGCTTGACCACATTTCTACTTTGGTGTTTGCTTTTGTCTGTTGCAGCATTTCAGCTCAGTGAACTTTCACTGATGATATGTCACATTGCAGTTTCACACACTTGAATAATTTGAAGCCCTTTCATACATACACGCAAACACAGAGATACATACATACACATTCCAGATATAAAAACATATACACGTGCACCCACAATCCAATACACACATTCATTCCTTCAACTAATATTACTGAGCCACTCCACAAACTCAAGTATGTGATGGGTACTGTGGACATGGGGGTGGTGAACTAATGGACAAAAAAGACACAACTGTTTTGTCGAGGCTTACACAAGCAGGTGGAAATAGTAAGGTGAGATCTACAAGCAGTGAGTACTCCAATATTGGGCCACAGGGTAAGTCACTCTCATCAAGGACGTGGGGACAGACTTTGTGGGACAGATACCACTTGAATGTGCCTTTATTAGTACAAAATGGGGGAAATGACATCGGAGGCTATGAGAATATCAGAGCAAATCAACAACATGTATGCAATGGACATTTGCCTGTTACTTTAGGGATAGCTAATGGTGGTTCCACAGACATAAAGAACCTAGATGACCCATTTTTAGAATTTTCCTTACATTCCAAGGTGGCTGCCAGAACTCCAGTTATTACAGTAGTCAAAGCAGAATAAAAGAGAAATTGGATGAAGGGGATGAAAGCACACTTATCTCAAGAGCTTTTCTGGCAGTCTAACCCATGTATTTAGTGCTTTTATTACATCATCCAGAAACCTTTACATGGCCCCAACTTGCTGCAAGAATTGTGTGCAGTGCAGTCTCTCGCCAGGATTCTGACCACCCTAAAAGAAAATGAGAGTTCTGATTATGTGTAAAAGGACCAAGTAGGTACTGGATAGATAGCCAGCAATATTTACTCCAGGAACACAAACAGAAGTCTTGTGACCATTTTGCACAGGAACAGAATGCATTCAATTTTGGACATGTTGAATAAACTAGGTACTGTCAAATGCTGCAGTTCTACTGGGCAATCCTTCTAAGAATACAAATACTTAAGAGTAGACTATTTTCAGAACTCAAGTTGTATTAAGGTCTATAGGGATGCCATTTATATCTATAAACATTACTGTCAAATTGAATGCAGTAGATAAAGAGAAGAAAGATTTTTATGAATATTTTTCATTTGGGCTAAATAAATAGGATTGTCATTTTTTTTCACAGTGAGAATTCCTATTGAGAACTTTAATGAATAAATATCTCTTGCTGGAAATGGTCTCAAAATACTGACAGTCAGAGTCATATTGAAGCCTTTTCTGTCTACATGAACAAGTGAAAACTCTGCCTCAGCATAAACTGAGGTGAATTGGGATAATAAACTAAGGCAAGGCAGCAAGGCGAAGGGGAAGTGTGTAGGTGGGGCATCAAGAGACCATGTTCTACTGCCAACTGGCAATGTAATCTTCTTCAAGCCATTTTGCCTTCTCGCGCTTTCATTTTTCTCACTTTCACAATAATGACAAGATCTTTAAGAAGCCTGATAAAATCAGCGAATCTCCACAGAGTTCATGAATATACAATACTAAAAAAGAGGATATATATCTACAGATAGAAATAGGAAGTAATAAGAGAATAATATGAAAAACATTATGCAACATGTTTGAAGACAGACACAATGAGTGATATGTTTAGTAAACGATTGAGTCACGGTTGACTAAAGAAAGAATAGCCACTCTAGAAAATAATCAGTGGTAAAATGTCATCACAAGTATAACCCTACCAATGCCTCATTTCAAGACAGCAGACTCAGATGGTTTTAGAAATGTGTTGTATTCCAGGAGATAGACTCTCTATTATATAAACTACTGCAGGAAATAAATTCTATTCATCTCTTTTTATGACACCCTTATAACTTTGGCACAAAATCTTGTCCAACAATAGAAGAAATTATAAATATAGACCAACTTCATATATGCACACGAATACATAAATATCAATAAATAGAAATCAGCAGTATATATAATATATCTCATAACTGAGTGTGATTTCTCTAGGGAATGCGGTGGTAATATAAACTCAAACTACTAAGGTAATCATTGCATTCAAAAGTAACAATGTGACTTATCTCAAATGTAGGAAAAATATTTCATAAAATAGAGGGCAAACTATATTAGAAAGTTAGGATGTCAAGCGAATTTCCACAACTTGACAAAATATGTATCTAGTCATATTTATGAAATTTTAAAAGCTGAACTGTGTTACACTGTCAGAATCTAACACTCCTTTCTCAGGGGCCTTACTCTATCAATCATTTCTTTTATCTCTTGGATATTTGTTCTCTCTCTAAGAGCGGGGCTCTTTCCAGAAACATTTTAGAAGCTTTTGTCTCTGTCATTTTATAAAATACCCTGAAAATGCCGCATCAGTGTCAACTTACCAATGCCATCAAGCATCTTCTCCATTTCTTTCCTTCCCTGCAGGCCAGAGTGTCAGAAGACTTTTCTG